GGGGACTATTATTACCACCAATGCAATAGCTTGAACAATTTCCCTCTGAATTCCGCATATTTGCAATAGGTAACACATCATTTGGCAGTGGAACTCTGTAAAGGCTTCAATTGAACTGTTCTCTGGAAAGATAGGACATACTTCAAAATCACACACTAGATCGACTACAGAATAATGAGAAGTAAAGAGAGATCAGTCTTTTTTATCCCAAACTATGAAACCTAGCACCCTCTCTGCTTGTCCATAAGAGTTAGTGGACTGACACTTTACTTTGCAGCTGCGTCATTGTTCAGTTTAATACATCTACTATATATCCGCTCTCTCACTTTGTTTCCCCCACTCCTCTGTGAAGTTCAGAAACTTTACCTCTCAACTCGAATCTCGGTGTGAAGCTCTTAGAAACGGCAGATGGAGGGAGAGAGAAGCTGTTAAAGGTCCAATGCAGCCATTTTTATCTCAATATCAAATCATTTCTGGATAACAATTAAGCACTGTGATTATTTTCAATTTAAATGGTCAAAAATAAACAAAAATAGCCTGTTGGCAAATAGCAATTTCTCAAGCAAGAATTTTGCTAGGATGGTCTGGGAGTGGTCTTAATGGGGAGGGGAAAACTGAAAACTAGTTGTTATTGCCAGAGAGGTTTGGAACTCTCTTTCTTATTGGTCTATTAACTAATTTACCGCCTGGTGATGTCACCAGGCAGGCCAAAACTCCATCCCACCAAAACAGGCTGAAATTTCAGGCGGTCTTTTCAAACAGCTCTTACACTAAAAGGGCATTATCATCATTTTCACAATTTCACAGTATTATTCCAACCTCATAGCGTGGAAATATAAAACACAGGAAAAACATGTTTTTGACTGCACTAGGCCTTTAATAATTTATGGTTGCCTCAGCTTTTCAAACACTGGAGTGGTCCCACGCCCCGGTTTCCCCCTGACATTTAATTTGTCTGAAAATCAGCAACCGTGCAGTCTGATTATCGCACACATCTGCCAATATGGCTGCGTATGAAAGCTCCATGGCACCAGAAGAGAGAGTTCGCAAAGATGTTCAAAACATCAGCCTTCACCCACCATTTCTGTTCCACCTAGCCTAGGTTATAGGCCTATCAAGTTGACTTTAGCTTATTATTTTCTATGCAAAGCAGAACATTTGTCAAAACAATGTTTGCATTAGAAATATGATTCCTTGCCATATTCACACAGAGGGGATACAAAGGCAAACACACACACAGAGACAAGGGGGTGACATGAATTCTGAGACTTCAATGCTGCCATCTAGTGATGACTCAAGATCATAACAGGTAGGCCTACTCCACAGTACACACAACCCAAGTCCTATAAGCTGATCCTTACCCATTTTACATTTTACATTTTAGTCATTTAGCAGATGCTCTTATCCAGAGCGACTTACAGTTAGTGAGTGCATACGTTTTCATACTACCCCCCCTGTGGGAAACGAACCCACAACCCTGGCATTGCAAGCGCCATGCTCTACCAACTCAGCTACAGGGGACACTTACCCCTGGTCCTTATAGGCTTATTTAAGAGCACTGTCAAAATGTACAATGCACTCACCTCCTATAACAACATTCCAGTGAGTTCCTCCTGGTAGAGGGGTGAGAAGACCTGTGTGAGAATGTTGTTCATTGACTACAGTTCAGCATTAAACACTATTGTTCCCTCAAAGCTCATCACTAAGCTCAGAGCCCTGGGTTTGGGCACTATCCTCTGCAACAGGATCCTGGATATCCTGATGGGCACACCACAGGATGTGAGGATTGGCAACAGCACCTCCTCCACACTGACTCTTAACACAGTGTCTCCTCAGCCCTCTGCTATACTCCCCGTTCACCCACGACTGCGTGGCTTTGCACGACACCAATTCCATCATCAAGTTTGCTGACGACACAATGGTTGTATGCCTGATAACCAACAACGACGAGTCAGCCTATAGGAAGTGAACTGGCATTGTGGTGCCAGGACAACAACCTTTCCCTCAATGTCAGCAAAACAAAGGAGTTGATTGTTGACTTCAGTTAGCAGAGGAGGGAACACACCCCGATCCACATCAACGGGACTGCAGTAGAGTCAACAGTTTTAAGTTCCTCGTCGTCCACATCACTGATGACTTGAAAAAAACACCACTCTTGTCAAGATGGCGCAACAGCGCCTCTACTTCCTAAGGCGGCTGAAGAAATTCGGCATGCCACCCTGGGTCCTCTCCAAATACTACCGCTGCACCATCGAGAGCATCCTGACCAGTTGCATCACGGCCTGGTATGGGAATACCTCCAGCAGGTGGTGAAGATGGCCCAGTACATTACTGGGGCTGTGCTCCCACCTATTCATGACATCTACTTGAAACGGTGCCTGAGGAAGTCTCGCAGCATCATCAAGGACCCCACACACCCCAGCCACGAGCTGTCACTCCCTTACCGTTGGGTAGACGGTATCGGAGCATGAGGTCTGATATCAACAGGCTCAGAGACAGGTTTCTATCTACAAGCCACCTGACTACTGAACACTTTAACTGGACTGACCACCAGTTTACTATTGCTAATAGTGCACAATTTAAACACTTGCCCCCCAATCCTCCCTTCCCTAATAGGTATAAATATTGGACTATAAATTGTGCCTTCCTGTATTACAGTTGAAGTTGGAAGTTTACATACACTTAGGTTGGAGTCATTAAAACTCGTTTTTCAACCACTCCACAAATGTCTTGTTAACAAACTATAGTTTTGGCAAGTCGGTTAGCACATCTACTTTTTGCATGATACAAGTAATTTTCCCAACAATTGTTTACAGACAGATTATGTCACTTATAATTCACTGTATCACAATTCCTGTGGGTCAGACGTTTACATACACTAAGTTGACTGTACCTTTAAACAGCTTGGAAAATTCTAGAAAATTATGTCATGGCTTTAGAAGCTTCTGATAGGCTAATTGACATCATTTGAGTCAATTGGAGGTGTACCTGTGGATATATTTCAAGGCCTACCTTCAAACTCAGTGCCTCTTTGCTTGACATCATGGGAAAATCAAAAGAAATCAGCCAAGACCTCAGAAAAATTTTTTATCATTCAATTTCCAAATGCCTGAAGGTACCACGTTCATATGTACAAACAATAGTACGCAAATATAAACACCATGGGACCACGCAGCCATCATACCACTCAGGAAGGAGACGCATTCTGTCTCCTAGAGATGAACGTACTTTGGTGCGAAAAGTGCAAATCAATCCCAGAACAACAGCAAATGACCTTGTGAAGATGCTAGAGGAAACAGGTACAAAAGTATCTATATCCACAGTAAAACGAGTCCTATATCGACAAAACCTGAAAGGCCGCTCAGCAATGAAGAAGCCACTGCTGCAATACCGCCATAAAAAAGCCAGACTACGGTTTGCAACTGCACATGGGGACAAAGATTGCACTTTTTGGAGAAATGTCCTCTGGTCTGATGCAACAAAAATAGAACTGTTTGGCCATAATGACCATCGTTATGTTTGGAGGAAAAAGGGGGTTGTTTGCAAACCGTAGAACACCATCCGACCGTGAAGCACGGGGTGGTAGCATCATGCTGTGGGGGTGCTTTGCTGCAGGAGGGACTGGTGCACTTCACAAAATAGATGGCATCATGAGGAAGGAAAATTATGTGGATATATATATTGAAGCAACATCTCAAGACATCAGTCAGGAAGTTAAAGCTTGGTCGCAGTTGTGGCAAAATGGCTTAAGGACAACAGTCAAGGTATTGGAGTGGCAATCACAAAGGCCTGACCTCAATCCTATAGAACATTTGTGGGCAGAACTGAAAAAGCGTGTGCGAGCAAGGAGGCCTACAAACCTGACTCAGTTACACCAGCTTATTGTGGGAAGCTTGTGGAAGGCTACCCGAAACGTTTGACCCAAGTTAAACAATTTAAAGGCAATGCTACCAAATACTAATTGAGTGTATGTAAACTTCTAACCAACTGGGAATATGATGAAAGAAATAAAAGCTGAAATAAATCATTCTCTCAACTATTATTCTGACATTTCACATTCTTAAAATAAAATGGTGATCCTAACTGACCTAAGACAGGGAATTTTTACTAGGACTAAATGTCAGAAATTGTGAAAAACTGAGTTTAAATGTATTTGGCTAAGGTGTATGTAAACTTCCGACTTCAACTGTATATACTGATGCTAAAATGTCTATTATATTCTACTGAGCCATTTACTTTTTGTTTGTATTCTTATCTTTTATTATTTCTTATTGTTGTTGCATTGTCGAGAAATAACTTTAAGTAAGCAATTTGTTGGACAGTACAAACCATGTGTATCCTGTACATTCAACTATTAAAACTTGAAGATATCAATGTTATCATTTAACAGTTGGGACAGCACTGTATCTGAAAGCTAAACTTCACTGTGAATGTTGTTCATTGTATCATCATGTTCCATGTTTATTCATGTGGCTCCTCTTATCTCTGTAGAACGTTTCCCTCACACTGTCTGTCGAGGAAACACTCCCTGCCAGTGAGTGGTATGATAGCCCCTTATCATCCAATAGGAGTTCCATCATACTACAGTCACTTGACAACACAATGTCTGTAAGAGGGATACATGTTCTAATGGGGGACACACACTCCCATGAATCAACCAAGAGCTGAATTAACATACAAAAACCTGTCAAGATTTACATAACAATATTGCCATGCTCGCTCCACATTGCATTGATTGATTAATTCACAATGCGTTCAGGGAATAAGGTGGGACTTGCTTATAAAGATTTTATGAAACGTAAACAAAACATTTTCAATATATTGACAAATCTTTCTTGAAACAAATCAATAATAGAGCTGAACACTTGCTCTAACACATTATATAGGAATAACACATTTTAACATTAACTTAGCAAAAGCGCAGAAATACAAAAAGTGAAGACAATACAAACACTCACATCCTTCAGTATGCTCAGTAGAAAGCAATCATGCTTTATGCTTTATGCAGAAACAGAGACTTTGTGGACGTTTCTGATGGCTGTGAGACTGTTGTTGAAAACCAGGCTTGCCTGCAACAGTTTGGTGGCAGTTGTTGTGGGGGTGAAATGATCATTTTTCTCCATGGTCTGTCCTGGCTGCACGAGGTACACCCTAATACTTTTAGAGAATGGCTGGAGTAAATAATGTCAAGGAATGGCTGTATTCAATTCATCTAGGATGTCACTATAAGATCCATGAACTCCCCTATTCCTTCTAATGTTGCTAAAACCATATACAGTATATAAAACACAGGAATATATATATGCAGCATTTGTATGTTATTGTTTCATCTTACTGTCTGAGGCATTACACAACCTGTGTGACCTTTTTAGTTAGAGGTGGAAGTCTTATGATGCAACCAAATGCATTAGTTCCATGAAACTGACAACTAAGAAGAGCATACAGTGAGGGAAAAAAGTATTTGATCCCCTGCTGATTTTGTACGTTTGCCCACTGACAAAGAAATGATCAGTCTATAATTTTAATGGTAGGTTTATTTGAACAGTGAGAGACAGAATAACAACAACAAAATCCAGAATAACGCATGTCAAAAATGTTATAAATTGATTTGCATTTTAATGAGGGAAATCAGTATTTGACCCCCTCTCAATCAGAAAGATTTCTGGCTCCCAGGTGTCTTTTATACAGGTAACGAGCTGAGATTAGGAGCACACTCTTAAAGGGAGTGCTCCTAATCTCAGCTTGTTACCTGTATAAAAGATACCTGTCCACAGAAGCAATCAATCAATCAGATTCCAAACTCTCCACCATGGCCAAGACCAAAGAGCTCTCCAAGGATGTCAGGGACAAGATTGTAGACCTACACAAGGTTGGAATGGGCTACAAGACCATCACCAAGCAGCTTGGTGAGAAGGTGACACGGGAGGATCTTGTCAATGATCTCAAGGCAGCTGGGACCATAGTCACCAAGAAAACAATTGGTAACACACTACGCCGTGAAGGACTGAAATCCTGCAGCGCCCGCAAGGTCCCCCTGCTCAAGAAAGCACATATACAGGCCCGTCTGAAGTTTGCCAATGAACATCTGAATGATTCAGAAGAGAACTGGGTGAAAGTGTTGTGTTCAGATGAGACCAAAATCGAGCTCTTTGGCATCAACTCAACTCGCCGTGTTTGGAGGAGAAGGAATGCTGCCTATGACCCCAAGAACACCATCCCCACCGTCAAACATGGAGGTGGAAACATTATGCTTTGGGGGTGTTTTTCTGCTAAGGGGACAGTACAACGTCACCGCATCAAAGGGACGATGGACGGGGCCATGTACCGTCAAATCTTGGGTGAGAACCTCCTTCCCTCAGCCAGGGCATTGAAAATGGGTCGTAGATGGGTATTCCAGCATGACAATAACCCAAAACACACGGCGAAGGCAACAAAGGAGTGGCTCAAGAAGAAGCACATTAAGGTCCTGGAGTGGCCTAGCCAGTCTCCAGACCTTAATCCCATAGAAAATCTGTGGAGGGAGCTGAAGGTTTGAGTTGCCAAACGTCAGCCTCGAAACCTTAATGACTTGGAGAAGATCTGCAAAGAGGAGTGGGACAAAATCCCTCCTGAGATGTGTGCAAACCTGGTGGCCAACTACAAGAAACGTCTGACCTCTGTGATTGCCAACAAAGGTTTTGCCACCAAGTACTAAGTCATGTTTTGCAGAGGGGTCAAATACTTATTTCCCTCATTAAAATGCAAATAAATTTATAACATTTTTGACATGCGTTTTTCTGTTTTTTGTTGTTGTTATTCTGTCTCTCACTGTTCAAATAAACCTACCATTAAAATTATAGACTGATCATTTCTTTGTCAATGGGCAAACGTACAAAATCAGCAGGGGATCAAATACTTTTTTCCCTCACTGTACCTGGTGACGTACCAAGACTACGTTTCTACAATACTTCCTCAAGCCACAAGAATAGGTGTTTTTGTTGTCATTCAAACAAAGAAAGTGTTAAACTTAGAATGTGTTTCATAGAGACAGAGAGCCCAATGTCTTATTTGCTTTTTCAGAACAGTTTAGAATATAATCAGTTTCTTGGTCTTCCGGTGCACGATCACTTACTTTGTCTGGTCTTTGCCCTCCATCAAGCCTGAGCCTTCCACTGTCAGCACAGCACCGCTCAAGGGAATAGTGAAACCATCAATGAAAGAAACCAGGGCACTGTGCACCTTCTCCAGCTGAATGTTATCTCCACCGATGACCTGTGGAATAAAAGCACTTCAGAAACTCTGACTCTGCCTGGGAGGTACGTCGGGTAAAGACTAGATAAGTTGTTAGAGAGCGTACTGTACCTCTATAGAGATCTGTTGGGTGATGATGTTTAACTCTTCTGACGCTAGGACCCACTCTTTGGTCCGCTCATCCTTTATGACCACCGCCAAGTTAAGCAAACCCTCACCCACAAGCATGTTCTCATACTCAAGAGTGTGGAATCTGGTGATGAACTGTCAGAACTGGAAGAAGCACAGTAACACTGTAAGCACAGTAGTAATGAAAAGAACAACAAACAATTGTATTATGGGAGACTACTGGATTTGGTGTTGAGCATAGAGGGTGTCTAAATTAAAACAGATGAAATATTTTTCTTAAATCGGGATTGGAATGATTTTAGTAGCCTATTTAAAATTGTTGGTGTTGAGCTAGAGTATGGCGACTGCCATACCCAATTGAAACCCCTGGTTGTGACTTGTTACCTGCACATGAGCCATATGAAACTGCTTGTGTGCCTCCCAGAACGAGTTCCGTGGGCTGCCATTGTCTTCTTTTGTTTGAGCATTGAGATGTTCTTTCAGAACCTTGGGGACGTTCGCCCTGTTGGTGACAGTGACGCACAAGTAAATGTTCTCCCCCAACCTTGGCTCTTTCTCAATCTTCAAGGAAACCTCCAAACTCTGAACTGTTGCTACGGAGAGAGAAATGGACAGAGGATGAGGTGTGATAACAAACAACAAAATACATTATGGAAATAACGAAAAGCAACCTTTTTCACTTTGACATTTACATTTTTACAGGTACGTTGCATGGGTACTTTAAGTCTGTCAGACCTTTGTATCATGACAGCAGAATACTTTTTGTATAGTTGCGATTTAGTTGTGTGGGATTTCATGATGTTAGCACTGTCTTACTTTCATTACACTTGTAAGCACAGAGGCTCTGAGGTCTCTCTGAGCCCACGTTCTTAGTGAGATCCGACCCTCTGTGTGTACACACTCGTCCCCAACACCATCCCTCACTATCACTGTGACAACGTCCGCGTTGACCGACGCATAGATGAATGGAGCGTCGTACAAAGCGTCATTACGTCGCTTTCTGAGGCCTTTCACTGAACATCGACTACAGCAGAATATTCCTGTAGATGTTGCAGATGTTATCATTCTATTCACTTAAAGACATTTCAGAAGAATTGTCTGATCTGATCAATAGGCTATCTATTGAAAGGGCAAACATTTGACAGTCAGATATTTCAGAGAATCAAAGGTCAAAATGAGATTAAAACAGCATAGTTTTCATTAGCTTTCAATCTTTCTTTCTTTTTTTTTCTTTTTTTTGTCATTTAGCAGACGCTCTTATCCAGAGCGACTTACAGGAGCAATTAGGGTTAAGTGCCTTGCTCAAGGGCACATCGACAGATTTTTCACCTAGTCGGCTCAGGGATTAGAACCAGCGACCTTTCAGTTACTGGCACAACGCTCTTAACCAATAAGCTACCTGCCGCCTCTTTCATCTTGATGATCTAACTAACAGAAAGTAATAATTGAATAGAATTAGGTATTTGACCTCCACTTTTCTCCTGGGGAGTTGGATCCAATACCTGCCACCCGTCAAAACCTTGGCCCAGGTCAGGCAGTGACATCCAGCATTCAACCCACACATGGAAGTTCCTGGAAATATTTGTATACATTTAGGACATACATGACTGCATACCCCAAAATTATCAAAAGCTAAATACTATAAGAGGTTATGCAACCATCTCAGACGACTGAGAGAAAACAAAGTGTTCTTTATTGCAGACCAAAACATATGACATTTTGACTTTGTGAACACCAACCCATATGCTGTCCTTGGAGATGTACATTTTTTCCCCCAGTGTTGGTGTAATATTCCTCGATGACCAGGTTTCCAATGGTATCACGGGCAGAGTTAAAGATTGTGACAACTCTTGATGGGACCCCCAAAACTGTCATAACTGAAAAAAAGAAAGAAACGCACAAAGTCAACTCACGACAATGATATTTACTGTTGTATATTGCCACTGGAAAGACCTCTAATGGTGAATAATATTCAAGTGGATAGTCAAATTTCAGTTAACTGTACACATGACAGAGGCAAAGACCTAGCACAGGCCGTAACTTACAGTTCTGAAATTGGATCGGCCCCGGAGCTTTAAGATGTTGGCACTGCAAGTCCATTCCATCTGGGTAACTCCATCTTTAAAGTTCGCTGCCCAGTCCCCCTTCAAGACACCTGACCATCTTCACAGACACTAAACAAAGAAAAGTAGGAGGGCATCACTCACAGTCATAGACTGGGTGTTTGTGGTGAGAATTCAGGAATGTAAACGCTTGCTCCTGTGCGCCCACTATTTGGGTCCTTGGATCCATCTGTGAAAAGCGGTAAAAAAAAGCATAAGAACTTCTACCAATGTAATTGTCAACCAGTTTCCCTATATCACTGACTTCTGACCAATCTTTCCTTTTCCCTTCCAAGGTTAGATCAACAACAGGATTTGGGAGTAACCCTATCATAAGTATTTGATCCCTTGCTGATTTTGTACGTTTGCCCACTGACAAAGAAATTATCAGTCTATAATTTTAATGGTAGGTTTATTTGAACAGTGAGAGACAGAATAACAACAAAAAAATCAAGAAAAACACATGTCAAAAATGATATAAATTGATTTGCATTTTAATGAGAAAAATAAGTATTTGACCCCCTCTCAATCAGAAAGATTTCTGGCTCCCAGGTGTCTTTTATACAGGTAACGAGCTGAGATTAGGAGCACAATCTTAAAGGGAGTGCTCCTAATCTCAGCTTGTTACCTGTATAAAAGACATCTGTCCACAGAAGCAATCAATCAATCAGATTCCAAACTCTCCACCATGGCCAAGACCAAAGAGCTCTCCAAGGATGTCAGGGACAAGATTGTAGACCTACACAAGGCTGGAATGGGCTACAAGACCATCACCAAGCAGCTTGGTGAGAAGGTGACAACAGTTGGTGTGATTATTCGCAAATGGAAGAAACACAAAATAACTGTCAATCTCCCTCGGCCTGGAGCTCCATGCAACATCTCACCTCGTGGAGTTGCAATGATCATGAGAACGGTGAGGAATCAGCCCAGAACTACACAGGAGGATCTTGTCAATGATCTCAAGGCAGCTGGGACCATATTCACCAAGAAAACAATTGGTAACACACTACGCCCGTGAAGGACTGAAATCCTGCAGCGCCCACAAGGTCCCCCTGCTCAAGAAAGCACATATACATGCCCGTCTGATGACCCCAAGAACACCATCCCCACCGTCAAACATGGAGGTGGAAACATTATGCTTTGGGGGTGTTTTTCTGCTAAGGGGACAGGACAACTTCACCGCATCAAAGGGACGATGGACGGGGCCATGTACCGTCAAATCTTGGGTGAGAACCTCCTTCCCTCAGCCAGGGCATTGAACATGGGTTGTGGATGGGTATTCCAGCATGAAAATGACCCAAAACACACAGCCAAGGCAACAAAGGAGTGGCTCAAGAAGAAGCACATTAAGGTCCTGGAGTGGCCTAGCCAGTCTCCAGACCTTAATCCCATAGAAAATCTGTGGTTCGAGTTGCCAAACGTCAGGCTCGAAACCTTAATGACTTGGAGAAGATCTGCAAAGAGGAGTGGGACAAAATCCCTCCTGAGATGTGTGCAAACCTGGTGGCCAACTACAAGAAACGTCTGACCTCTGTGATTGCCAACAAGGGTTTTGCCACCAAGTACTAAGTCATGTTTTGCAGAGGGGTCAAATACTTATTTCCCTCATTAAAATGCAAATCAATTTATAACATTTTTGACATGCGTTTTTCTGGATTTTTTTGTTGTTATTCTGTCTCTCACTGTTCAAATAAGCCTACCATTAAAATTATAGACTGATCATGTCTTTGTCAGTGGGCAAACGTACAAAATCAGCAGGGGATCAAATACTTTTTTCCCTCACTGTAGATGCTTAAACATTACATAGCACAACTGATCATGACCTGTGGGTGTACAGTGCCTTGCATAAGTATTCATCCCCCTTGGCGTTTTTCCTATTTTGTTGCATTACAACCTGTAATTTACATTGATTTTTATAAAACATAGTCCAAATTAGTGAAGTGAAATGAAAAAAAGAACTTGTTTCAAAGAATTGTAAAAAATAAATAACAGAAAAGTGGTGCGTGCATATGTATTCACCCTGTTTGCTAAGAAGTCCCTAAATAAGATCTGGTGCAACCAATTACCTTCAGAAGTCACATAATTAGTTAAATAAAGTCCACCTGTGTGCAATCTAAGTGTCACATGATCTGTCACATGATCTCAGTATATATACACCTGTTCTGAAAGGCCCCAGAGTCTGCAACACCACTAAGCAAAGGGTACCACCAAGCAAGCGGCACCATGAAGACCAATGAGCTCTCCAAACAGGTCAGGGACAAAGTTGTGGAGAAGTACAGATCAGGGTTGGGTTATAAAAAAATATCTGAAACTTTGAACATCCCACGGAGCACTATTAAATCCATTATTAAAAAATGGAAAGAATATGGCACCACAACAAACCTGCGAGAGGGCCACCCACCAAAACTCACGGAGCAGGCAAGGAGGGCATTAATCAGAGAGGCAACAAAGAGACCAAAGATAACCCTTAAGGAGCTGCAAAGCTCCACAGCGGAGATTGGAGTATATGTCCATAGGACCACTTTAAGCCATACACTCCACAGAGCTGGGCTTTATGGAAGAGTGGCCAGAAAAACACCATTGCTTAAAGAAAAAAATAAGCAAACATGTTTGGTGTTCGCCAAAAGGCATGTGGGAGACTCCCCAAACATATGGAAGAAGGTACTCTAGTCAGATGAAACCCAACACCTCTCATCACCCCGAGAACACCATCCCCACAGTAAAGCATGGTGGTGGCAGCATCATGCTGTGGGGATGTTTTTCATCGGCAGGGACTGGGAAACTGGTCAGAATTGAAGGAATGATGGATGGTGCTAAATACAGGGAAATTATTGAGGGAAACCTGTTTCAGTCTTCCAGAGATTTGAGACTGGGATGGAGGTTCACCTTCCAGCAGGACAATGACCCTAAGCATACTGCTAAAGCAACACTCGAGTGGTTTAAGGGAAAACATTTAAATGTCTTGGAATGGCCTAGTCAAAGCCCAGACCTCAATCCAATTGAGAATCTGTGGTATGACTTAAAGATTGCTGTACACCTGCGGAACCCATCCAACTTGAAGGAGCTGGAGCAGTTTTGCGTTGAAGAATGGGCAAAAATCCCAGTGCCTAGATGTGCCAAGCTTATAGAGACATACCCCAAGAGACTTGCAGCTGTAATTGCTGCAAAAGGTGGCTCTACAAAGTATTGACTTTGGGGAGTTAATAATTATGCACGCTCACGTTTTCAGTTTTTTTGTCGTATTTCTTGTTTGTTTCAATATTTAGCATCTTCAAAGTGGTAGGCATATTGTGTAAATCAAATGATACAAACCCCCAAATAATCAATTTTAATTCCAGGTTGTAAGGCAAAAAAATAGGAAAAATGCCAAGGGGGGTGAATCCTTTCGCAAGCCACTGTACCTCAGCCCAGACCAAAGCTGACAAGTGTCAGAGAGACTCCGCTTACAGGGTAAACGCTAGAAGGGATCCAGCTTCGTGAAATTAATTTCAAAAGTTGCTTTTATTTGTATTGTTTGTATTATAGCTAACCCTAACCCATTTCGTAACTTTAACCTAATGCTCCTGACCTGCTACATTAAATCTCCTAACCTGCTGCGTAAAGTCTCCTAACCTGCTACAAAACATCAAATCTGATGTTAATTTGACAAAAGCTCCATCCCATCTAGCCCTGACACACTGACAGTGCCCTTGTGAGATGCCAGACATAAGCAATTTTGTAAATGTCCGTCGATTACTGCCGTGTCAACCAGTCAAAAGTTTTAGAACACCTACTCATTCAAGGGTTTTTCTTTATTTTTACTACTTTCTACATTGTAGAATAATAATGAAGACATCAAAACTATGAAATAACACATATGGAATCATGTAGTAAACAAAAAGTGTTAAACAAATCAAAATATATGTTATATTTGAGATTCTTCAAAGTAGCCACCCTTTGCCTTGAAGACAGCTTTGCACACTCTTGGCATTCTCTCAACCAGCTTCACCTGGAATGCTTTTCCAACAGTCTTGAAGGAGTTCCCACATATGCTGAGCATTTGTTGGCTACTTTTCCTTCACACTGCCGTCCAACTCATCCCAAACCATCTCAATTGGGTTGAGGTCGGGGGATTGTGGAGGCCAGGTCATCTGATGCAGCACTCCATCACTCTCCTTCTTGGTAAAATAGCCCTTACACAGCCTGGAAGTGTGTTGGGTCATTGTCCTGTTGAAAAACAAATTATAGTCCCACTAAGCCCAAACCAGATGGGATGGCGTATCTCTGCAGAATGCTGTGGTAGCCATGCTGGTTAAGTGTGCCTTGAATTCTAAATAAATCACAGACAGAGTCACCAGCAAACCAACCCCACACCATAACACCTCCTCCTCCATGCTTTACGGTGGGAACTACACATGCAGAGATCATCCGTTCACCAACTCCCCGTCTCACAAAGACACAGA